AAGGTGAAACGACGGGCGCTGCCGCTGCCGTCAGTAGGAACGGCTGGTTAGCTGGGTGCACGCACCCTGGCGGGAGGTGACCCCGTTACCCATTTCGCATCGCTCGCACGCTGTCCGGCTTTCAGCTCGAACCTGGCCGCCAGGACAAGGCAGGATCCTGGCCACGGCACTGCCCAAGCAGAATAAGTATTCAAAATGCACTTTGCTTTCTGATGGGAAAACCTAAATAGAGATTTTTCAGTGTTTTCAATCCAGAAATGTTTCACATACTCTAACTCTCGTTGGACAGAAGGAAGAGGTTTTAACATGGGGAAGCACATGTTATTTAGAGCAAAGGAATGGAGTGTGTGGGGGGAAACCACACCTAGCATTCACTGTCACGCAGTGGAAGTAGGGGCAGCATCGGGTACCGGCGTTCTCCACTTTTCAGGAGACGACACACGACTGCACCCATTTATTTACTGATTGTATAAGGGGAGGTACCTCATCTCTGCCTTGTTGCCCCATCATTCCTGATCACGGACAGAAGCACCCTTCCTTACCTATTCTGTACTCCTTCCCACCATCTATTCCCTAGAAACAGAGCAGCTTCCAAACAATTTTCTTCTCGCTTATCCTACAGAAATAATATGAGCCACTCTAGTCTTCCAAAATGTCTCCTTGCTTGTTACAGGGACCCATTTATCAGCCAACTATAAGGTAACAGTGCCTTTTTCATGTTTTTTTCTCCCCGAATACAGTCAACACATCTAACACCCGGCTTAGTAAACCTTGAAACCCAAGCTAACTCTGTTTTCCATTAGCACAGCAGTCTGTGACCTCTGCACACCAAACTCACAAACCTGTCAATCCTGCCTTTGAAGGCCTAGAAAGGCTTTGTACCTACTTTGTTTGAAGTATTTTGCCCCAGATCACTGTTGTTGGGTGGGTTTTTTTTTTATTCATTATTTTTAGCATTGACAACTATGTATCTTTAACACAGGACTTGAAATACTTTTAAAAATTCACATTCTTGTGGTTTATACTGTACCAAGTTTCACAGGCTCGGTTGTGCTGCGCAGAGGCTGGTGCAGAGCAGGCGAGGACGGACTCTGGGGGAGAGCACGCACAGCCAGATGCTGACGGAGGGGTGCTGATGAAACGGGACGAAACCCGAAGAACGCATTTTCTCAACAACCAGTCATCTCGTTAATCGCTGGAGACTTCGTCTCACAAAACCAACAACTCTGCTCACCGCCACGAAACCGGCCTCAAACACCGCGCAGCTCACGCGTCCGCGGGCAGGCACCGAGCAACCCGGACAGAAAGCGGCAGGGCCCACCATTACAACCGCCGCCGCCTCCCGGGGGGGTGCCGGCGGGGGGGGGGCGACCCCCCC